TTGACCTTTATCCCCCAGACTTATGAGGGAGCTTTCCTTTCGGGAGTTTAAAGGGTGCATTAACTAAAGTGCATTTCTTGCAAGGTTATAAAAACTCATTATTACTCCGTTAACAAGCTTCTCAATTTCGATTTATCCTGAAGATGCGCCTCACCAAAGGCTCCATTCGTCACGAGTCAGCTTCCAGCTTCAAAAGTTGGATACCACTCTTTTGAGCACTGCAGGCACCATCCTTCGTGTTTCACATAACCAGTGAAGATTGTGTGATCCTCAGCTTGTCACATCGTTTTTCTGTAATTACACTGGATCGCCTACAAGCAGCCGGCGAATGGTCGATGGAACATCCGAAAGTTAACTGTCAAGACCGGCAAACGGAATAACTGCCAGCTGATCGAAAAGGAAAACGTACCAAAGCTACCACTATTTGTCACACTGCCTTGCAAATCACTAACAATTCTGCTACCATATTAGAGATTCTATGAACAAACAAGCCACCGACTTTTGACTGACCTACCCGCCTCTCGGGCAAGCAAGAATGACCAGCTGACCAGTCCAGATACGTACTCAGTTCCTCCCACAGAAGACCTGATTTTCAGTCAGGGTCAGCCATACTATAGGGTCAGTAAATTGTCTCAGCTTTGCTCCAATTTTTTTAGCACGTTAAAGACGATCACCTTATGCGCTTGGTTCTAATAACAAACAAGTCTCATACACAGCAGAGTAGGGCTGTAAGTTTCGGTTGCACAATAATCATGCATCAAATAACATGCATAAATAGTCCTTGCCGCAGGATGAACTGCGCAGAGCCAGCGCAAAGTGAAAAAAAACATTGGCTGCAGGTTAATCAAAGAGAAACTTCTTGGTCTTCAGATACGACCTGGCTGTTGGGGAGCTGATAACGCGCTGCTTCCTGTAGAAATCTTGTTGTAGTGATTCGTCCAAAGGGCTCAGTATCAAATGTGTTAGCGATCACTCTTGATAAGGCAAACTTTCCCTTGATCTTTTAGATCGCGGCTCTTCTTTGGTCCAAATATCTCCCACCATTATAACGCTTGTGCTCTACATGACCATCAATGCAACTTAATGAGGGCGCAACAAATTCCTCGGCGTTTTGCAGTGCGTAGTTCCCGGCATCTTAAAGTGGTATGCCTACAGATGCTGTTGTAGTTTTTCAGAAGAGAAAAATCATTTCTTAGATGAGGAGAGCACGATCGTGCTAATTAGAAGTGCCCACAGGATATTACAGGAAGACGCAGATTGACAGAGCCTAGTGACAGTGCCCATGGTCATAATCAGCGGTCATCTTGCTATCTGAGTAGCAGCCGCGCATTGTAACGTGAGCGCACACGCCATGTTTTCAACAACCTGTATGCTCTTTGGGATTTCAGCTGCAAAAACAAACACCCCAAGTTCCTGTTCGGACAAGATTAGGGTTCCGAAGAATCCAGCTGAATATGATGCAAGTCACCTAGGAGCTGTGCTGCCTGGCTAATTTGATGATGTTTCCAATGGTCAGGGAACGTGGGGCTAGAAATTTTGGCGCGTCCCACGGTGCTTGAGAAGCTCTTTGTCGAGACTTTTTGACTGAATAGGGAACACCAGCCACCATGCCATAACCACACATGCAGTAACCAATGAGTGGCTGAAGGATAATCGAAATCAATGCACCCAAACTGTACCTTGTAAGCTCGATTACTAATCTTCGTAATTTCATCCAAAAATAGCAAAGCCTGATCCCGCGTTTACATGTAATTCAAAACGAATCGGAACCACCTTTGATTTCAAGTTGGCCTGGATTTGCCTGCGTCAACCTCTCTGTATAACCCAAGTCCAGCTGCCAAATGGATGTGAATTCTTTGTCCGATTATCGCAAACTGGACGTCCAACAAGGGGCTTTCCAGGAACAGAGGCATGTCAGCGCACCGATGACTCAACTTGGACATACCCAGTGTGACGACACACCCGCAACCATTTTCATCTTAATCTTGACATTTCGCCTTCGCTCACTCATTCCTTTACCTTCAATCCGAACATGATGTTTGCCTAGCCCAACCACATCTGCAACAATCTCATTCTCTTGACATTTCGCTTTCGCTCACTCATTCCTTTACCTTCACTCCGAACATGATGGTTGCCTAGCCCCAACCACATCTGGGACAATCTCATTCTAATCCGCTGAACGCCTCATTCGGATCTAACCATCCCGGTTTCGCGCTGAAATTTCAGGTTGCTCCGCCCATATCTCCAACGATTTTACTCACGCCGTTCGTTTGGCACTATGCATTATTACTATCTCTACCCTCAAAATATCTTTTATACCTGACTTCCCTGCAACAATGACACCAGTCAGTTTGCCCATTTACGATGTGAACAAGAATTTAAAGACGAAAATTGCCGTTTGTCTCCACTGCAAACTTTTCGTTTTGTTCTCCACTTGAGTTTTTTGTGACCTTGGACATTAGGTAAACCGTCCACGGCCAGCTGCGGTTTTCAGTTTCAGCTCAAATGGACCAGCTTGCCAATTCGTGGAGTACATCCCCTCTGAAATCAAAAACTGGACCGAGAAAACTTTTACATAAATTTTTGAGCGTTTGACGGTATTAGGTCTGTACCTTGGAATCTATCCAGAGACGCAGTTTTGCTAAAATATGTTTAGACGTACCCAAGATCCACTTTGGACGCGGCATCCACGTTTTTAATGGTATGATGTTTCCATGAAGATGGTGGGAAGTTCCGCGAAAAAGTTTTTGTCCTAGCATGTTTTCAACTTTACCTTCGAAAGCGTACCCGAACAAATATTTTGACATTTTTATCCACACAAACACGAAATGGAGCAGCTTATAGCGGTGTTCCTTGGAATAACTTTCCTATCGTTGCATCGGGCGTCCAGCCAGACGAGGCCAAGAAATTCGCCACAACTAGTAAATTCGGTTGACAGTCAGTACACTATCGGTAAGGCTTTACGTACGCCGGTATACTGACTTCTTGATGGTCCTGTGGGAAGTATTACTAGGTTTGCTGGCAGTACGAGCCGAAGGGTGGTCAGTACCTTGGATTTCGGGCACAACTGTATCCATACAACATGCATCTTCTGGAAGTAGGAGAGTTAGGTCGAACTATGGGCAAGCTATCAGATTACGTAAGGCAGTCGCGGTATCGTTATCCCGACGTCGTACTTAAGTTCGTGGACAGACCCGCACGTGAAAATCTCGAATGGGTAAGTTGGGGATGTTAAGACTGGACCAAGAATCATAAAAAATTGTGACCAGCGTTGACGGGGGACATTTTCGCGTCCACTGAGGGTTGTTCATCACTGCCGTTTAAACGAGATAATAGGACAGCTTTGGCTAAGTTGGGGACCCAAACTGAGAAAATCTTCAGAGCCTGCTTGGGGAATTTGAGTATAAGTTAGACTGCGACCCGAAGCAGCAGTCAGCTAAGAGTGGTTACAATTTGTGATCACTGCAGTAGAGCTACACTGGCCGATTTCAGGAACGACAATCGACATCCAATTTGAGATGGTAGGGAATGTTTGTATACGGACTATGGGAACAAGTGTGGCCGAATGTGAATACGATGGCCGTGTATTAGCTAAATAGTGCTAAGAGCTGCTTTCCGTGCTCATTTATTAGTAGCAGAAAGATGGAGGTGTTCGACCTTTGACCTGGCAGAAGGGTTGGGAGATATTCCGCGTTTGGGTGCCATCCGTGCTGCTCGCCTTTCAGGATGGGGACCTCTCTACCCCCCACTGCGCCTGGTTGGACGCTGTGCAGGATACGGCTGCTAGGTGGTGTCCCTGGCGTTCTTGTCTGGTTCTATCCAGATCGCTTGAATGAATGTCTGGAGAGGTATGCACCTTGTAATGATTGTGGAAGGTAGAATCAATCACATCCCCGTACACTTCAATTCTTTTCTTCAAATAAGGTTTTCAAATAGACCATGGTCATACGGTAGCAAATTATCAGTTTTGAACACTCATGTCATGCTTTCGATGAGGATTAAACATCAAGAATGTCATATCTAGTTGTGTAGTTGTCCATGAAGCTGGGTAAGAGGGGGTGGAATGTGAGTAGACGGCTCTCAACACAGTGGTTGAATTGCAGGTGACACCGTAGTCGGCCGGTGGTGAGCTGGCAAGCATTCAAGGGGATAGGATTGTTATGTATTGGAGATTGCCAAGGATAAAAGGGATCACGATGCTAGGTGTAAGTTTCCTAATACCAGTCAGACCTGTACTCGGCCTTTCCACCAACCTACAGTCAACGTCGTCGGAAGTTGGGGATAAATAGCATTGACTAGGTTGTCAAAGATGGAGTTCTCGAACTCAGGAAAATATGACGATCGTATAACTATAAGCATTTGTGCACCACACTCAGTGCACTGTGAACTACGCTTTCTTGCCACTAACGCATGTTATTTTCAAAGGAAATCCTAGATATAGACAGTGTTAAGCCAAAATATATGGAAACTGTTAAAAAGATACCTTCTGAACTACCACTACCCTAGGGATTACGACAGGTTCCTAATGAGTTGCGGGCCTGGGCGCAATCCTGCAAAAGTGAGCGCCTTAAGAGACAATCTTCTCCTTTCTCTAATAAGAGTTAATCCTTCAGTCATCGCATGTCAGTCTATATCTAACAGCCTTAAGAATAGTGGTCGCGTTAAATAACATCCATGACAATCCACCAACAAGGTGTACGGAAACGGGCTATTCTTCTTGAACGAGGAACCAAACCAACTAGATGGCTTTGGAAACATTAGGACGCCCCATACTACCTGATGTTTGGAAGCTGAACGGTCCAAAAGGGAACGAGGTGCCTCAAACGATCACCAGCGCGACCGATCGCACACCATACATTACGAGACAGTTGCGCCGTTTCTGCCAAACAGACCACTGCAGACAAGAGCCCAGATATACACTTTCCAATGCCTGACTAGACCGGATTAGAACTCAGAGCACCCATAATAGTAGTACGAATGATGAGGGCCAGATGTGCAATCAAACATGTATTTTGATTCTACAGTGGATCAATTGTATGAAACGACTGTCGAGAAAACATACAAAGTTTCATTGGGGATTCCAAACGAAGCATTCCCAGCCCAACAAATAAAAGCACAAATGTAAGAAGACTGATTCCCATTGCTATGCCATAATGAGCGATACTAGTCCCGATCGCTAACCAACTGCCTGCATCACGAAGCCACACAAAGAATTGCACGATGAAGAGGTTTGACAGTATGGTGCAGCATCCGGTCAGAGTAACAAGAGCTTGATACGGAGCTGAGCTCTCTTGGTTTCCGTGTGTCTGAATGGCTGAACTGATTATCCCTAAACACAGGAGTGGTAGAAGTATCTGAAATGGAAGATGAAAGTCGTGAACTCGAAAAGCGCTACAACAATGGTATTGGCGATGCAAGGGGGAAGCTGTAAACGTAACTCGATAACAGCATAAGCAGATCTTTAGTGCATGAAATCTTTTTTGCCATAAGTACCATCTGAATAGAAATTCGCATAGGCATGTGTCAATGGAACTTAGATGGATCGCAAAAGCGAGGCTTTCAGTGTGAAATCTGTTCTGAAAGTGGAAAGTTGTCAGTAGGAGGATGAGTTCTGTGAAATATCTGATTGTGTAACAGTTACGGGCCAAAAGAGAGCCACAGTTGGTTAGCAAGCAGTTGCTTGGGGGCGAGATGGACCAAGTGGTTAGAGCATAAATTTACTGGCCGGAAGGTTCGTGGCTCGAACCCGACCTCTGCCTCTCGACTTTCCCTGTCTAGGCTTGGGCAACCTGGCAGTATCCCAGCCCTCGTGCCTCCTCCGTGCGGCATGGCAGCTAGGCAGCGAAAAGGTGCTACAGCTGAACGATGTTTTTCTTTAAGCAGTTGCTTGCTATCTGCTTAGTGTTTCTGTCAAACGGGTAACAAGTGTACCGCCCTGATCACGTCCCACAAAATATAACAGTGCCTAAGTGCTTGACAAATTTCAACTAACAAAGTCAGTAGAAAGAGTATCCAATAACTTGAAGGAACTTTACGAAGGAATGCCTAAATCGAAAAATCAAGAGACTTGTACTCAGTGACCCAGCCGCTAAAGACGCAATGTGATAACGACGCTTTGTGATCAACAGTAACATGTGTACGAAGAGAGAAGCGGTTCCGGAAGACCTCCTTGTCACTAGGTTAGTCATATGAATTTATTACTTTCTACAACAAACGGTTCCAACAAACAGCTGGTTCGGGACTTGATGACAATCGCATGGCAACATTTATGCGTGACATGATTCACACTTCATGAAATATCACACTTCTAGCGACATGGCCTCACTGGGGCAAATTCAGCTGTCTGATGCACCGCATGCTTCAGTATTTTGTCTTTTCCTTCCAGTTTGTGCGCCAATTCGTCTGCACCAGGGGCGTTAGACTGCACATCGTCTGAAGTCTAAACACATTTATAAATAAACACTTTAATTGTAAACAGGGGAAGAAAATCTACACGGTTTTTACAGCCACAGGGAGTGTGCAGAGAACGGGAGAGTACCTCATGCAATTGCCTAGCTAACGAGTGGAAATATCTCACAAGTACAGCGATACCCACATCCGCCATGACAACCACAGACGTGGTCATTGAATATACTTTGCGGGGATGGCCGACACGTCTAAGTACGTTCCTTCGGTATTCGAGAACCCCTCGAAAGGAGTTATCACTCCTCAGTAGGGAAGGCAGCTCACTGCCGAATGCTCTCCATTATTTAACGTGCTTATTGGCACCACTCACGACTGGAGTCGACGCGTTAACTCGGAATACACTGAGCATTTGTGCGCACTTTGGTCGAGAATTCTATAAATAAAAGCTAACCAACGGGGTTGTTGAGAACAACGGCGAGTCCGCTGCACTGAAATAGCTATTCGGAATACACTGAGCATTTGTGCGCGCTCTGGTCGAGAATTCCATAAATAAAAGCCAACCAACGGGGTTGTTGAGAACAACGGCGAGTCAGCTGCACTGAAATAGCTATGAATCGCGGACATAAGGCGGCTGTTTTGACCACTACACTCATGAAAAGGCCACGAATTATGGATGGTTAGTTGACACATACAACTAACAGTTAGTGGTTTAATAAACCAAACCTGTCCAACAGAACGACACGTTGGTCATCCGGAGGTGACAGACTGTACGAAGAAACAACCGAGAGCACAATGTCACTTGATGGCATTTCAACCACAGTTCAACCAGGACTTGGAGCCAAGCGGCCGAATTAGCCACAAAGCAACTACATGCGGGTTATCCTGTGATTGAATATCAACGTTCAACGGGGAAACATGAGCAGTCTAACTGGGTTAGAAATGCCTGGCTGGATACTGACAGCTCCTCGCAAGAAAGGCACATGGGACTGGTAGCATTGTTTACGTTTTCTGCAAGTGAGTATATACCTACCAGTTCCAATCATGCGTAACAACCAGCCGGAAGAGTTTTCCGGTTTTCAAGTGAAATTCTTGAGATGTGCGCGGTTGACAGTCTTCAGTAAGGATTAAACAGATCTACCGTGCTTCTCGCCTTCTCAACAGATCGACCTAACTTGCAGAACCTAGCAGGCAAGTTGCCCTCTAGGTGCTTAGCAGCCACGCCACTCCATGAAAGCATGAGGACTGACATACTGTCAGGTTGCCCAATCCTAGTTAGGAGCAGCTGTGATACTGAGGTTGGGTTCGGAACCTCCGGGCCGTTAGCTGGCACCTTAACCACAGAGCTATCTCGAGCACATGTACGGTTGAACGTATGATTTACGGACAGCTGTGGGGCCAATAAAAGCAGATGGTTTTCAACGGCTGTGATCGGAAATCTGAATCAACAGGATTTTGATGGAAAGGTGTGGACCAAAGCTGAACTCATTCGACGGTTTACTGGTTGTGAGCTCATAAAATTCATTCTAAAACTATTCACAACTAATCTAGTAACCGACAGATTTCAGTAAACGGACCGATAAGTGAAAATAACGTCAAGTATGAATTGGGCAAATTTTACCCCCTGAGGATGCGACTACCGTTATTGGAAATTCCCTACCACCCTTCTCGAAGGAATTTTATCAGATTCCTGAACAGCTCTCACATTTTCACTGCTAAACACATGCAAGGTTTTTCATCACTGCCTGCTTCTCTCATTTCCTTCATCGCAATCACTTTGAAACTATGATAAGTTGCGTTACCATCCAATTAAACACCCATTTATACCTGCCGTCCTACAAGCATTAAATCTTTCAGAGACGCACAAAATCCCACTGGAAAACAGCATTTCAGAGCCTCTCAGACGATCGGAACAAAGATATTCGGAATGATGTGGAGTGAGCTATAGCTGTAGAGGAAAATTGACTTATTGATAGTGTCTGATAGGTGCAAGGATGCAACAACCTGCATTAGTTATGACACTGAAGAACTTCAACCTCAATCTTCGCCTGTCCCCGGAAGATAATAGACCCCACTTCGAGCGGTGTATGAAATGTATCTCGCACCTAGATCCCAGACGTTCTGGATGGGGGTTAGATTTGAATAGCGAGCCGGCTGATTCGGGTCCCTGAAGTGACGTTACGCTGATCATGTCGGCTGTGTATCATGGCATTATCTTGTTACGAACTCACAGATCCCACTTTGTCCTGCGAACGCAGCAGGACGGCATTTAGGGCACCAGCGTCCGCTTCCTCTTTGGAACCACCAAATGAGATTTATCATTGGCAGACATCACACCCTAAACAGCTACGAAACAACTAACACAAACTCCCGTGGTTGAAGTCTAGTCTTTCTTTTGGTGCATCATGCAAGTGACTCAAGACCCAGTACTTTGTCTCTTCAGTACGACTCGAACTCTTTCAATCTTTTATTCCAGTGTTTGAATGTGTTCGTATTCATTTCGGAAACAGCATGTGTATCAATTCTTAGAACGGAAGTTGGCGGCCAATGTGAAGACGTATTGTAACAACTCCTGATTGATATCGCACTCAAGGAACCTTTTCGGCCTCGTTGATTCGGGACACCTCGTCATATCGACGATGTTTGGACTCCAAACTCCCGAGGTTTTGCGTGTCATCGTTAGTTCTTACACAAGTTTAGATGGCCCAGATTCGTCATATCTCCGTTCTGCCCATTCAGTGGTCGTGCTTCTAATGCAAAGACAGACTGAGCACTGCTCACACGAGATAGTTCAATGGTTAGAGCGCGAATTTACTGACCGGAATGTTCGTGTTTCGGAGACGATTTCTCCTGGCTAAACTTAGGCAACCTGGAAATATCTCAGCCCTTGTGTTTCCTTCGGGTGGCATGGCAGTTGGGCACCGAAAGGGTGTTACAGTTGAACGACTATTAACAAGTATTTGAATGGCCATGAAACATCCATAAGATTGGTTATTCGACCAGGAGAAAAGGATTCGATAACTATGAACTAAACATCTAGTCAATAGTTGTTTCAATGACTGCAAATAGGATAGCTGAATAGTAAATAATGGCTGGATAAACTGGGACTACTAATGTATCTCAATCAGCACAGTGATACGCCCTACGACAGCACCTACGAGGAAAAAGCTTTGAAGTGTACAGAGTCTTATGATCTCGCCTATCCCAATTTGAATCTCAGTCAGTGATACGCCCTACGACAGCACCTACGAGGAAAAAGCTTTGAAGTGTACAGAGTCTTATGATCTCGCCTATCCCAATTTGAAGAAGATGCAGCGGTTCGAAGGGGATTGCACCCTCAACACAACCACAATGCTGTTCGGTCTGAAAGATAAAATCCAATGAGGAACCAGCGTACGACACTTGTGGATAAGCAGGAAGTCCTGTGATTTGTTTGTAAACTGGGTGTTATCTCGACTTAATATCAGACCCTCTTTTAGACTTCCTCAAATTTAATCGGTTTGTCTTGCACCACGCCCACGTAGAAGGTTAAGCCGACCAAGTGGATAGTTAGAGACAGACCAGCGAAGGGTAAAAATTATGAACATACCTTAAGAATGGCAAAGTACACCACTGATCCATGTTCCATGTGCGTGACAAAGCAGTTTGTGATCCGGATGTCAAGCCTACAAAGGAACGGGATGACAATGTCGAGTTTCAATAGATTGAAAATGTAGTAATCAATGAAATATCAACGATTCGTCCGAAGTGATTTGAAAACGGTCTTTGATCAGGCAGAACGGCTCGTTCAGCCATCTAAACAACCAACTGGTAAGCCCTGTTTCATGAACCTAAGTTTATCCAGAAACAATTGACCGCCACATAAGGACTTTCCTAAAAATGCTTCACTAGTCGAGGTTCTACACGAGCACACTGGCTCTGATGCGCAACTAATTCAAAATCGTGCCTTTTGGTAGTTGATTTAAAGTAAGGTGGTGTTCGGCATATGCAACTAGACACATGACGCCCTTTTGTAACATGAAACAAATTGATTTGCAAATGAGTGTATTTCTCGAAAACGGTCCGATTTGGGTTCAATTAGAACATAAAGTTGACGGAAACTCGGGGACTGTGCCTACCTGATGAGCCCCAAGAATGGCGAAACTGGTCGTGGGCTGTCGAAGCATTTTCAGCAACCTTGTGAGTAATTTCCTTTTCGAAAATGAACCAACACCGTTCTGTATGTATCCGACAGACAGCATTTAAGATGGCTGTGCACAACACCTGACTGAAATACGCGTTTACTGCTAGTAGAGCATCAACAGTTTGCGGCAAGCCACAAAGCTTCTTCAAAGTTTAGCGACATAACCCCCTCCGGCTTGACATAGCACCATGAATCATTTTGAAGCCGCCGACCAAGGAAACAACCACGTTAATCGTCATTACCATCATCAGCTATAAAAACCGCGTAATTGCCGTACTGTGATTATGGTTATCACAGTTTCGTCCATCGATGACTTGGGGAGATGGGCTGGATAGCTGAGTATTGGAGGCGGGAGCTGATAAAATTAAGGCAGTGGACTTTTCAATGGGGAGATCGAGAGAGGAGCTATGGATTAGAAATAACAGCTTGACGATTGAGTGCAACTGAAGGCACAACTGGGCCGTTTGACAGTGTCTCTAATCATTGATGTGTTTCGCCTCGAGGTCGCCATCCAGGTAAAAGGCAATGACCAACGGAGCTAATTTTGCTGGTAATGATTTCCATAATTTGTTGCTACGTCATTGCTTGAACTCCCCTGGCTCGTTTCCACCCTTCGCGTGGTTCTGAAGACAGAACTCTTCGAGGAATTCGGTCGACTGGAATACGGAGCACGTGGCCGAGACAGCGCAACCTATGCAGCGTGATCAGCCGCTCAGTGATCTATCGTGGACGGGTTTTCTTCCGAATGCCATTCAACGTACTTCAGCATTGCTGATCCGGTGTTCGCACCAGATTGGGACAATACTCCAAAGACGTTAATAGTGGAATGCTGAAAGACTTTTGACAGGACTAACACAGCTCAGGTAGAAAAATTTGTCTCCTACCTCCTGCAAGCATGAGTCTAGGGTTCGAGCCTACCATGTCTTGCAGCAGCACTTTAGACTTTGCAGGTGTGAAACGCATGCCAAACCATGAGGCAGAATTATTATTATTATTTAATATTGTTTGCGTTATGACAGTATCAGACCCAAGAAAAGGTAGGTCGCCTGCGTACTCAAAATCTGTCCAGGGAGCGTTTCGTCCCTAGATGTCTTAGAGTCTAGGAGTGAGTTTCCCATAATCGTATAAAGGACGAAGTTGAAGAGGAAAGTCGAACGAGGACAGCCTCGCATGATGCTGATCGATGTAATGAACTCTGGCGAGAGCCTTCCGTTGACCTTCACACGTACGCAGGAGTTGGCGTACAGCGCCCTAAAGAGAGTCGAGAATTGATGGGGAAACCTTTGCCTCATAGACACTGGCTTAGTGCCTGACGGTTCACAGAATCAAAAGCAACTTGCAAGTCAGGTTTCTGGAAGCGATGTCACTGTTCGAGAATCTGACGATCATGTGTGTAATATGATCGGTGCATCCTTTTTCAAGACGGAACCCAGCTTGGTTTTCACAGATCCGTCGATCAAAATGAAATCTATGTGGTGTAATCCCACCAAAAAATTTGGAATTCCAGGGAGATAAAATATGCCGGAGAAGAAAGACCAGTTTGTGAAAATAAGAAAACACAATTTGGCGGCGAGTTCAAAACAGATAGAGTTGTCGATTGTAACGAGGGTTCCCAACTACGTACAAAGAGAACAACATATCGATCACATGAACTGAACTATTCTACTGACGAGCGGGCATGTTGAAAAGACTCCGGCAAAGTTTTTTGAGTTACAGGGCGACACCAAATGTTAACGCTCCACATGGTAAGTCCCCGGCGGAGGTACTTATGAACCGGAAGGTCCGCTTACCCGTTGACGTCATCCGTCCAACACCACATTCGCAAACCGGCAGAAACATAAATATGGAAGCTCAGTTCAACCGACGGTGCTACAAAGAACATATTTATACCTGGCCAATCTGTGCTAGCGAAAGACTATCGTGGTGGCGCGGAAAAGTGGACACAAGGAATAATTGTGCGCCGGGCCGGAAGAGTTGTCTATGAGGTAAATGTAGGCTCCTCTATCTGGGTCCGTCATGCCAATCAGCTACGCGCTTCCTATCTTCCAGCGGCACCTACACTCGACCCTGTTCTTCCACTGGAGACTCTTCTCGACACATTTGAGTTAGCTCAAAAGCCAAAATCTCCAGAGCCGATGAATGAACCAGAAATTTCCAAAAGTTGTACACCCAGAAGATGGACCGATCGGATCAGAAAGCCTGTCATACGAATGCAACTGAACCCACAACTCCAGTCGTACGAACAATGACTTCAAAGGGGAGGTGTTAGGAGGCACTCCTAACGAACATATTGCTCAACATTTCTCTCTCTCTATTTCAGCCTTTCATTGGACTGTTTTGTTCCATTCCATTCTTGATTCTTCGAATCTCGATATTGGCTGTTCAGTTGCTGCAGTATAATTTCCTCAAGGCTTTTTGTCTTCTCAATTTCGTGTGTAACTGACAAGGTTGATTGACTGATTAGTAGAGAACATAACAGGAACATTCGATTTTACAGTCTGGTGTTGAACAAACTAACGAATGCAGTCGTATTCCCTAGAGTTTTCGAAAAAATGCGGTTAGGGCGCAGAAGTGTACTGCACACCGGGCAGTAGGCAGATTAGATCCTGCGGCTTGTACAGTATCCGGATCCATTTTGGATTGAAGTACTTGGCCAAAGTGTTGGACAACGAGTGAAAGGTTCAATCCACACACCAATTATATGGTGCTTGTTGCTACTGACTGGCACTTCACAGATCGCTTCGGAAAATTAGTTGAATGACAGGACTAAACATGCCTTCTACTTCATGAAGGATGCTTGAATAGCAAGGTCCATCTCGACCTGATTCAAGAGAAATTCGCAAATGCAGCATTAGTCCAAAAGCCGGTTGACGTACTTGTTAAGTGTGGAAACGTCAGCAATCCCAAAGAAACTCACGATGAGTAAAAAGATCTGGAAACATTGCTTAAGGAACGATAGTGGAATATTTCCGAGGAGGGAAGTTCGCAAACACAAGTGACAGACAAAGTGACGTGAAAATAAGAACACTGTTTAATAAGAGGAGGGAGGCTACTATAATAAGTACTATAAAACTACAATGAAGAAATCAGTTGACGATTGAGGGGCGTTCGCTATATATTGGTACAAGACCCCACATCTTTTAAAGTGCTAAGTATTAGATGAAGGTATCCAATTTGCCCCTCCGAAACAGGGAGGGGGACAGCGCTAAACGAAGCGGCTTGCACACAGTCTGAGAACTGTTGGATGAACCCATCGAAAACAAAAAATCAAACGTCCAACCAATCTGGACCACCGAGAGCTGGCTCATACCCAATGAGACGTGGATTCTGAGGCTGGCTATGTATCCTGTGCGAGCTAATCACACTGCTGATCACCTGCCCGCGGCCGTGAACGATTAGGCGTTCAAATTACTAACCGGGGGATC